CCTCCAACTGTTCAAACTTTGTCTTCACCCGAAAAACCACAAAAAAAGAATATCAGTACACGTCTACCTGATCCTACACTTTTTCCATATCTTTCCAAAAGACTGGCATCGAGCAACATTATTGACAACACAGATACCGAAGTAGATAGCGATGTAGATGCAGCTGCAGCTGCTATGCTTTCTTTTAAACATGGACCTATTATTTTAAATCATAATAAAGGCAAAGTATCTTATAGAAAAATATTAAATAAACATTAAATAAATATTTAATTAACATTTCACAATTTAAAATTTTATGGCAGATCGTAAGCGAAAAGTACCGGAATCAGAAATGTTGGTTCCTGTAATTACTAGGAGTTCTAGTGAAGATCACACTTACAGTTGTATTACCTCAGTAAGACAAGAAAGGTAAGAATATTATGGTAATTTCAATAGGTAATTCTTATTTAATATTAAGATAATATGTTTATAATATGTTTTTCGTTTAATATTAAAATATATATTTATTTTTCAAGTAAATATCCAAGGAAAGAAACAAATACCGATTTTGATGAACAACGGAAAATAGCAGAAGGTGCAGATGCACTTTTAAATTTAGCAGGTGTTACTACACCTCTTAACCACGGTAGGGCACATCATATACAAAGTATTAACTCGACGTCAAAATCCGAGAGTTCATCAAAAGTAAAAAAACGTTCAGCTTCGAATGATTATTCGAATATGTCTGAAAAAAGACGTAAGCATTGGCCAAAATGGAGTGAAGGAAAACGGTATTTAAAGCAAATTATATAAAAATACTTTGGTCATATATATGTAGCATCGCAAACTTCCTACTTTTCTTTTGAAAGATGAATCTTTTAAAATTCTAATGTTTAATATGATTTTTGAGACTTAAATCTTCTACTGAGAAAAAATTTATAAATATAAGATAAAAAATGATATCTTATTATTTTAAAAAAAAAATTTTATCGGGTGCATTTCTATTTAAAACAATAAAGTTGGTAACAAAAGGATGGCAAAAGAAAATAAAAAATTGGCGGTCGCTCAGGGTTTAGAACTTGCTGTATGCCAAAATAAATAGCACTAAGTAACAAGCAATAATAGAAGAATAGTGTTAAAAAAAAAAAAGAATTACTTTTACATGTTATTAAGACATGAATTTAACTATAAGTAGTTCATGAAATGTCAATGAAAAAAAACACTATTGCGTACTAAAACTAAAATAATAACGATAAATTTTTTAGACCTGTTGTGACAATTATACATATTAATTCATAGAGAGTTTAATTAATAATAATAGAGTTCTATATTAGGTTTCTTGTAGATATGTATAGAAATATAATTGATATCTTACAATAGAGAAATTAATAATATATTTAAAAAAAGATTATATATATACATATATACATATGTGTATATATATATATACATATATATATATATATAATGTATATATGTACGTATATGTATATATATATACACATATACACATATACATACGCGTTTGCGAGTCTATACAAAACATTCATTCACTCTCAAGCACATACATACATATACATACATATATATGTTCATGTTCATATTCTCATTTATTCATACTTAAAATACATCTGGTCATACGCAGCAGTATATGTGCAGAAAATGTGCTGCGAAAAACTAAAACAAAAAGAACTTAAAAAGAAATTGAGGTATAGTGAATATGGATTTGAACTGAAAAATATTATCATTTCATGCCTTTTTCTACTCTCTTTATTGCTTTTGAGATGATTTTAAACAGTGCTGTATGTACATAGTCCCTGTAATGTATACACAGACCAGTTCAAAAAATTTTGTTAGAACATCAATATATATCGTGTCAAATTGATAAATATTGATTGGAAGAAATGTATAAAGGTATATGGCAAGAGTATCATCCTATTTTTATAAAAAAATAAAAATAAAAAAATAACTATAATATAATAATAATTAAGAAATATTGTGAATACCTGATAAGAAATGAATGTATATGGCGATGAAAGATATTAAATATTGATAAACTGGTCTTGTATACATTGATATCGTAGTTCTATATAGAGAGAAGGTATATTTTTACAGGGCACAGCCCGCGTGATAAAAGCTCTTCCTAATAATTGCTAAAAAAGAAAAAAGGAGAAGAAGAAAAAGGAAAAAAACAGTTCATTAGCTTAAACCATTTATTAATTGTATTTTGCGTGACACTAAAAACATAATATGGTAGCGCAGCCTAAATAATTCCATATTTACATGCTATATGAGAAAACTTTCATTAAAAAGGAAAAAAGGAATGCATGATTTTAGTTTCGAATAAGTTTCGAATATATCAAACATACTTGCAGAAAAAAAACTTATTCAATGAAACTAAAAATAACAAAATTTTTAAATCAGAGACATTTTTAGTTATATGATTATGTAAAAATTAAATAATATCAGTTATTAGGTTTATAATAATATTTAAGCGTCACAATTGCGATTAAAGATAAATTGTTATTTGTAATATATGTTATTACTGCTGGCTCAGATATATCTCAAATGTGAAAATTATTATTATCGCTTTTCATGAAGGTGCAATTTAGTTTAACTTATTATATGTTGTTTATTCTTTAGTTATTTTCGAAGTTAACGTGATAATGTTAATAATAATCAGTCAGTTAAAGTTACTGCACTTAAAAAATTTACGCTAATCATATGAAACTGTGAAATATTATTAATGTAAAAAAAAATAGAGAAAACAAAAAAAGAAAATAGATACAATAAATTTAAAAAAAAAATATCAATAAGGCGCGCTGCCAAAATATTTCGTATGATTGTAGCTATAAAGGGAAAAAAATTTAAAATAAAGGGTGCAAGGAAGAATGCCATATTTATACACGATTTAAGAAATTTCAATTTTTGAGAGAAATATATACATTTCACGTAAATGTAAAACTATTCTATATATTTAGCATATACGTATTTATAATATACATATATATTATATTAAATATGTTTTAGAGAAATAAACATGCCTGTGTTCGGTATCGGGCATTTTTTTTCGAAATTTGTATACGCACGAGTAAGACCAGTTTTTTGTAGACTTTATGTTTTCTATTGTCTGTGATATTATTGCAAAAGTAAACACACCTTGTTGTTGTTATTGTTGTTAATTATATTTTGGTGAAACAGAAGTTTTAGAGCTTTATAAGTTTTATTGTTTAGAGGGAGAGAGAAAGTGAAAGAAAGAGAAAGTGTTTGCGACACTTTTCTGATATTATTAATTGGCATTCTTGCTGACACCTAAACATTCTGATTTAGATAGAAAAACTGGCATCTTTAAATTAGCAATATATGATAAATATTATATATATATTGAAAGTAATATCACAGTTTTCACTCTATTTGTTGAAATTTTTAGTCTAGCTTTTGTTTGCTATGACTGAAGATCTGTTCTTCCATGTAGTTTATTCTAATCAATTAGGGGGTGGGATGCCATTTATAATAATAGTAGCTAATCAATGCATTACAAATTAGAGTAATCGATTAGCAAGTGCAACATAAAGCAATATATACCAGTAAATCCTGACATCGGACAAAATACTCGTTAGTCAGCTGGTCCATACAAAAAATATTCATCTATAAATCAATGTTATATCGCGTGTTTGTATAGAGAGAAATAAGTATAAAAATTATAAATTAACACTAATTGTACAAGATAGTTAACATACAGAGTATTTTTTTAATGAAGTATTATTGTAACATATATTGTAATGAAACTATTATTTTGTCTGTGTAATTTTTAAATGCATATAAATTATTATTTAACACAACATTAAATCCTGTTTCCTATTATATGAGACCGGCTGGCATAAATAAAAAAATATCATTAAGAACTTGAACACCAGAAAGAAAAGAAAAAAAATATTAAATATAAAAAACAAATTATATTTCATTGCGTTGCAACTATCCATGGACAATCAAATTCTAATATGGTGTTTAATTTATCTCCTCCATTACATGACATCGTGCCAAACGCAGAAATCATTTATTTTGAGGAATAGATGTTTATTTATATGTATATCTACAAGTTGTATATTGTATGAATTTTTGTTGGCGTAATATGTAATATTATTATTATTATATGTAATATTATTATTATTATTACTATTATTAATTATATTATGATTATTATTATTAATATAATTATTACTCATTTTAAATGGAATACATTGTAAAATGTTTGTTAAGTTTTTGACCTTGCTTACATAATTGAGTAAAATATTTAATATTTTAGATTACATAATTGAGAAAAGTATTTAATATTTTAGATTGTAACCGAAATAGAACTTTATTAATGAAAAAAAATGTGAAAAGATTTGATTATTTAAATGTGCATCCTTTTCGAGATATATTACGATATGTACTATCTATATATATATATATATATATATATATATATATATATATATATAGATACAAAATTATTGATCATAAAAGTGTAAAAAAAGGTAAAGATCAATTGTTGTTAATTAATGTTACTTTGAATACAATATATTAATATATATTTCTATATTTAAACTCTTAAATTATTTACATCTATCTTAACAATATTTTTTTTGATGATAAAAAAGTGTAATATTTATTTATGTAATCATAATTGGCGCGTTTAGAATTTTAAAGATGGCGCTAATATGGTGCGTAATATTTCGCATAGGATATCTAAATCTATAGTGAAAAATTTATATTTTAGAATAAATGTGAAATTGATTTAAATGGATGTAAAATTAAAATTTTATGTTTTACTAAATATTTGAGAATTTTATAAAATATAATTTTTTTAATTAAATTTATGTTTTATAACATTTCAAATAGAATTTGATCACGTGATAATATAGAGATACCAACCTGCACACGAGTACCTAGATTGAGACACGTCGTTACTATATTTTATCGCGGTTCAAAACCTGTCGATCTGCATTCCAGTGTGCTGGTGGACGCCAAGCGTCGTGTTCTATGAGAGGTTTATCCTACCAAAACTCACAACAATTCTCGTGAAAAAATGAAACAATTTGCTAAAAATTAACGGATTTATTATTTCTATCCTATAAGAAAAATTGTGATCGATTCACGGGAAAGTCAAAGGATCTGGAACAAATAGGTCGTACGGCTGGATTGAAGAAAAAAGGGTGAGTATACCAAGCATGATTATATTTTCTTCTTTCATGTCATTGATCTTTGTCTTTTTCTTATTTCTCTGTTTCTCACGATATTTTTCTCATATTTTCATGATTTTTAGTAAAAATATAAATGCAATGAAAATTATTGAAAATTTTTCTTGCAATATCGTTGTAAAAGATCATCTGCCGGAAGAGATGAGCCAATATTTTTGGTGATATTTGAATATGATGGATAATAAATTGTTAAAATGTATGATAACAATGATTATAGTTATAATTCTAATTATTTGAATTATTGACACTTGAAAAAACACTCGTTCGGATAATACCGCGCTACTTATTGCGCCTGCGTTCTAATAAAGTATACACGTTATGTACTTTTTGATTAAAGTCTTATATGCATTTTGATACGCGTAGTAATTCAGTCGAATTGTCAACTTCCCGATGAAGCTCATTAAAGTCAACTGGCTATATTAGTATAATAATGTTATTGAGAAGAAACTTACAACTATTTTACAAATATTATTATTTAATTAATAAATATAAAATGAAAATAATATAAGTGTAAAAATAAAGTGTTAATATTTGGATAAGTACTAGTTATGGGAAGTAGATTAAAATAGCGTATGACACATATACGGCTAAATATTCGTTGCTCGTTTTACTAAGCAATCGTTATGCATGCTGAGCAAGAAAGTAAAGTTAGTCATATATCTTGTATCGAGATGAAACATGATGATGTGTGAAGAATAAAAGTTCACGTGATTAATCGACGATCAACGAAAAGAATGATCATCGGCACATAAGGATAGTTGTCAAATATATTTAATCAATTGGAACCTTATCTTGTCGTTCCTGTTTATTATGTGTAATAGGATACCATAGTTTATCTGTATAAAAAATCATTAAAATTGCAACCCTATCTTATAATAATAATATAACTTCAAAACTATTAAATATTAAATTATACATTTATGCTAGTTTATATAGTAAATGAATGATAAAAAAAAAATTTTAAAAATATACATAAACTTTTTTTTAAATGTTATTTTATTATATTAATTATTATTTTATTTTAAAATATATTTTTTATAAAATTTGTATCATTTTCATTTAATTTTTAAATTTTTTTACGGTAATTTTATGTAAAAAATATTGAAAGAGAAAGAGAAAGAAAAACATAATATCTTTTATTTTAAGTAAATTATAATTACAAAAGTGCGTTACAAACAAAAATTTTATTTTTTTTAAAGGCAAAAGAATTTAATTATTTAAAATTTTCTGTATTTTGATTAATAATAGAAAAAACGTAAGATTATAAAAATGAAATTTAATTCTTCTTATATAGGAAGTTTTGATCAATTGGAGAATCAAAGATAGAAAAAAGAATTTCAGGAATTGAGGTTCTCTAGATTAACATCAAGTTGTAGAAACAAAAGTAATTCTTTTTTAACTATATAATGGCATATTTATACATGTGTTGTGTGTACGTAATTTCGGTAGCATTTATTTATCTATAAGGTTAGGTATATGAAGAATCGTGTGGCGCGCGTGGAGCATAGAAACTTGACAACCACTGCTTTGGAATTCGAGTTCTTTATTTTTATGAGAGGCAACGTCGGAAACCAGCCTCTTTGGAACCCTTCTCACCTGTTACATACCACCGGCATTTATGCTACCATTTAACCAGAAGTTAAGAGTTCTACCGTGTATAAAACATGTTCAACTATCTTGTCAATGGATTGAACGCATACTTTTTGTCTTTGCAATTTGGACTCCCAATGAAAAATAATGCCTTCTCAACGAATCTTATGAATGACTTCTCGAACAAATTCGTTTCTTCATAATGGAAACTTTTGTACAAATTTGTAAAATTAAAATTAATAAAATCAATTTATTTTATTTTATTTAATAATATGTTTAAAATGTTTTAAAAATAATATTGATCTAATTCACAGAAATATTAGAAATTAAATTTTTTAAAAATACTTTTAAGATTTTATTGTATCCTCATGTCATATTTACTAGATAATATTTTCTTATTAAACAAACATTAAGGAATCTGTGGAACAAAAAAAATCTTCTCTATTAATACCAATACATTAAATTGTCGTGTAGGCGTACGGTGTAATTCATGAATGGATCTACCTACACTTAATGTGTATATGTTAGCCAACAAATAATTTCCGTTCTTTCGACGTGTTAGCACGGTTTTCTAATCGTCATTTATGATGGCAGCCGTTCGCACGTGGGTGGAAAACAGTGCACGATAATTTTCAGCACCATATATGATCAATTTTATATTGTCATTGTAACATCTTTGTTCGCTTTACTTATCATCATGTATCATTACACATTTTAAAATTCTTTGAACGTTCAATTTGAAGATATAAAAGAAAATTTTATTTTTAAATTTATTTTTAAATTTATTTTATGCATATACAAGATATAATTATATCTATATATATAATTACACAAGTATTATCATTTGTGTGTAATATCGAATATATGTAATTATATACTAATACTAATAATTATATACTAAATACAATTATAAATAAACAAAAATCGAAAAATTATTTCTTTTATTTTGAATTTTAAAAAATTATAAATTTTATGAACAATTTTCATTAATCTTTAGAAATTTAATAAAACTATTAACACAATAAAAGTTTTTATATTATATTATATTATATTATATTATATTTTAAAAACTAATGCAAATTATATTATACTGTGTTCTATTGAAAATGGAATGTGCGACCCATTTGATAGAGTGAGGATAGAAGGCACGCATTTGTGCCGAAATGACGAGCCATGATCAAAACTAGAATGAATGCGTTCTATTTCCACGTGAACTCGCCACGTTCTAAACTTAAACGTTGAGTGGCATTAATTTTAGTGGTCTCTCTTTCTCTTTCTTGTTGCCTTGAGTTTTTAAAAATTCTTTTTTTTTCTTTTTAAAAAAGAAAAAAAACTGAATTGAAAAAGAATTCAATAACTAATACAATGAATTTCTATTTTCCTTGCTTATAGAATGTGTCAAGATGCGATCTGTGCCCTTTCCATGTGGCATTGTTACGATTCTATTTTATGTCTTAGCCAGTCTTGTACATGGTAAGTTTTTTCCTTATTTTCAATATATTACATATAAATACATTAAATATACATTAATATATTACAATTAACATTGACAGGGCAAAGGCAGGAATTAGGCATGTCTTTTACCAGACATCCACAACCATTGGATGCACCAATAGGCGATGACGTGAATTTTGAATGTAATTTGAATCTTGGCGCAGAACGTTTTTCTTGGCGCCATAGACCATTGAATTCAGATAAGTGGTTGCCAGTTTTTCACACAATTAGTAATGGTGGCAAAACATCTAGGCATGTGGTAAAATTTGATAATGAATCGAAAGCCGGAGATTATCGTTGTATAGCTTTTTATGGTAATATATATATTTTATCTAATTTAAGATCTTATTTTCAATATTAAAAGTATATATAAATAATACATCTAATATTTCTAGGTTCAAGTGGTTTAGCTTCTGATCCGGCAAGATTAACATTAGCTACACTACACAAGTTTTCTGATAAAAATGATGTTATTATAAATGTTCCAACAGGAAATATTGTACCTATTACTTGTCCTGTACCTTATTCTGCACCAGAAGCAATAGTTCAGTTTTATAAAAACAATAATCTCATACAAAATGTTAATATAATTGGTAGCAAAACTATGATCATTGAGAATGCTAAAATATCAGATAGTGGATCTTATCATTGCACTGTTAGCAATTATATAACTACACAAATATATTCAAGTAATTATAAAACAATTTTAAATGTACATAAAAATATTAGTTTTTTAGCACCATATTTTATTAAACAACCACAAACAGAATACAAAGTTTTACGGGGCAAAAATATAACATTAGAATGTTTTGGTGCTGGTTATCCAGTACCTTCTGTTACATGGAGTAGATTAGGTAGTCCATTACCATCAAATTCCATAAAAAATTTGATAGGTTTAATGATAATTAATGTTCAACCATCAGACAGAGGAGAGTATGATTGTATGTGGAGTAGCAATAATGCACATATAAAATCTGTAATTATATTAAAAGTCATGGAAGCTCCAAAAGTAATTAAACCACCGAAAGCATCCACATTCTCTGAAGGTGGAGAATTAGAACTTTCTTGTGCAGTAACTGGCGAACCACAACCAAAAATTGAATGGTTAATTAATGGAGAATCTTTAACACCTAGTGATAATGTGGAAATCAAAGGTTCTACACTTCTTATATCTGAAGTTGAGAAAAAACATGCTGGTATTGTCCAGTGTGTTGCAAGTAACGAATATGGGTCTCATTCTGGTTGCAATTTGCTAAGAGTAAATCCTAAACAACATATTGGAACAACAGAAATCAGACAGGATTATGGAATTTCTAATTCAAAACATAAACACACTAGAGGAGGAGGTAGACGAAGAAGTAAGGAAGGGAAACATAAAGGCACTGGTAATTTGTTACATACATTTATACATTATTGCGTATAAATCATTATTATTTATTTTATTTTTATCATGTCTTATATATTTCTAGCGGTGCTAGTACCACCGAATCAACCAAATGTCACAAGACTTTCAGATGTATCCGTAATGGTTAGATGGTCTGTACCTGAAAATACAGGACTGCCAATTCAATTTTTTAAAGTTCAATATCGAGAACTTGGACAAAAGATGAATGGCAAACAAGCCAAATGGATGACTGCAAATTCAGAAATACCGAATAATGTACGGGCTTTTGAAGTAACCGATTTACAACCTGATCATACTTATCGATTTAGAATTGCTGCAGTTTATTCAAACAATGATAATAAACTTAGTCCAAATTCCGTACGTTTTCATCTTAACAAAGATGGTGGAATCGAAAGTAATAAAATGCCTATACCTTTATTAACGAATACTGAGGCTTTAGGTCCGCATGAAGTATTACTCATTTGGCAAAATTCAGATAAATCGGCAAATATCGATGGTTTTTATGTATACCATCGAGCCTCTACTACAGCTGGAGATTATATAAAAACTACAGTTGAAGGCAAAGATTCTTTCAATATAACTATTTCTCACTTGCAACCAGATACAACATACGAGTTTAAAGTGCAAAGTTTTTCTGTGGATGCTGCTTCAGAATTTTCTCAAATTCTTCGACAAAAAACAAAAAAATCTTTGAACATGAATGAACATAATAATTACAATAATCGAAATGATCATAGTAGCAATTTAACATTAGATAATCGCGTAAGACCTGCAGACGATAAAAATGTGAATATGTATGCCATAATTGGCGGAGTTCTCGGAGGATCAACCTTGCTAGGTAGTTTAACTGCAGTTGCAGTAATATATAAAAGAACAAAATACAAACAAAGTCGAGAATCATCGCAAAGTGAAGGTATATTTTAATATTATTATATCTCAAAAAACAGTATAAATTACATAAAAAATTGAATATTCATTTTTTATTTTAGGGAAACCAATAACAAATGGAAGAATAATGAATGGTGGAGTAACTGATTCAAAAATAAACATAACTTCAAATCCACTTGCTGGTCTTGATACATCTGAAGATATAATACAGCCTAAGGTCGGTATTTGTAAGTAGCAATATTAATACTGCCGCTTTATCAAAGAACAAGAATGACTCAGAACTAGATTTGAAAAAAGAAAGGAAAATTTCTTATTATCTTTCCTATTTTGAATCTAGTTTCTGACTTGTGTATAGTCATTCAGTTTCTATATTCAAATAAAATAGTACATTAGGCGCATAAAAATTTTGCAATTTTAGCATATATGGCCACTCTTATCTTATTAATATTTATATTATTAATCATACCATCGTATGTGTGTTCTATTAGCTTGTATTTTGAAAAATAATTGAAATGAAATTCTAAAATGACTAAAAATCAAAAAAAATAATTTGATAGTTTTTTCTAAACTTAGATTACATTTATATTTTTACGAAGTAATTTCGATAGAAAGTAAACAAGTCATATCTTCATACAGTGGCTATGTATATAAATGCTTTATTTTCATCAGAAATTTTATATTTAACGTTCATGCTTCTATTTTTCCATATAATGGATAAATTGACATAAATGTTAAATCGCAATATCTATTTATATATCCCCAAGGTTACTATTAAGAATAGTGCATTGATTTGAGAATTATTATCATCAAAGTACTAATTAAGTGCTATTTAGATGATTAGACTCGAAATGAATCGAGTAATGGATCTAGAGATACATGCCATTTTATTTAAAAGTGGCATCTTTTTTTGTTTTGTGCTTCATTGTATTCCTCCTATAAATTTTTTCTTTCTTCTTTTTTTAAATTTCTTTGTTAGTTTTTGCATTTTTTGTCTTTTTCTTTCTTCTTACTTTTGCACGCGACTATATCTATATTCAACTAACGTGTTTCTGCTTTCAGACTACTCGATATTAAGAAGATTAGTTTTTTCTAGCTTTAGCCATTGGTCGCGTGTTCTTTAAATTCTACTTGCACATTCTCTGCACTCTCTCTGGAAGCCGCTTTTCTTTTGTATTTTCCGAACATCACATACGTACGTTATATATTATCTATATGTCCATGCTTCTTTGTGAGTGAAATTTGAAAGAAGCGAAATGTTTCTAAACAGACCGGACAACAGTCGCAGATGGAAATGGCTTCGTTTCTTAATGGACAAAACAACAGCAACAACAACCATAACAGTGATACTGTTGGAACTGACCAGTGAAGATCAATAGACTGAGATCTCTCTTTGCTCCAAGGATCGCTATCGAACAGCTTCTCTGCAAACAACCATTTTATATGTGCTTCGAAAAATCCTCGTACTCAGGCCATATATTTTCAGATAGAAGTTACATCAAACTTTTATAAAGAACGCCAATATTTCCGTTGTGACAAGAATCAAGACAAAGATGTACAAACGTTAATACTGCAATGATATTTTTTTTAGTGAGACTTTAAAGAAACTTTAGTCATCAGTTAGATTTACAATGAATAATCCATTTCAAGACAGTTACAGGGTGTCATAATAGGTATGCTCAAATATTTCGATCGAAATTGTTAGACACGTATTTGCCTAACGATCGTATACTACGAATTCAATTTTTCCCATTGCACGATAAATTGCGATTTTTTAAAGCTCAAGATAGAATAAGGAATTCGTGATCGATCATGAAATGGTTAAAATTTGCAAAGTACCTGTCTAATATCTTCTTTGATTTTTTTTTTATTTCTATATTTTTATCGCTCTCTTATTATATATACCCATTTGACAGTCTGATAATTAGTGAGTTTGGAATTAATTAGACGTATACCAGAAATTCATAATTTCGTAATTGAATTATTATTCATTTTCGTGATATTTATCATATTTTTATATTAATTTTAATCCAGGCAGCTTTTAAGTTATGTTTGTTTCCTGATTTAAATTAATTAGTTTATTATTTTATGTTGTAAATACATTAGTAATTACGTTGAATTTAGGACGAATGATATTGTGCCTGATAAAAAAGACAGCTGTGCTATATATTTTGTATTTTATTATGCTTTAGAATATTATTTGATATTATTGAAATTTTTAAACTTGCTAAATTGCGATAAAATGAAATTTTCAATTTTTTTTTTAAATTATCGTTATATTGCATTATATGTATTATATTTATTCATACATTATGATGTTGAAATTGATAAAATAATAATTTTAATAGATTCATTCTTATATTAAAACGAATCTCATGAATTGCTGCTAAAATAATAGAAATAATAGTAATATGTTGCTAACAGTATTTGTTATATAATATCAAGGATTTAACTTGTAATAACAGTATTTTCCTAGCATTGAATTAGATATCGTAAGTTCTTTAGCAATCAATATTAATTTTCTGACGGTAATAAAGCTTTACGATGAATCAAAAAGTTTAAGAATTATGTGAAAAAAACATTAATTTCTATTAGTAAAAATTTCGATATCAAAAAAGAAAATCGTAAAAGTTTGTAAATAGGTATTTATATAATATTTTTTACATTTTATATAATATATTTTATAGTATAATGTTACTTATTTAAATTTTTTATTTTAAAAAGAACAATCGTAATAATCCATAAAGTTAAAAAATTTTGTAAGCGGAAATGAGAGCAAATTTTTGTATATACTAGAATCGAATTTTATAAAAAAGCATATTGTGCCTTACATCTTGCCTTTAGAGATTACTATTAAGATTAATTATTTATATATATATATATAATTATATATATATACATATATATGTATGCATATCAACATTTTCTGTACTTAATTTTTTCTTTTTTCTTTTTTTTTTAAATAAATATTCTGTAACATAAAAAATAGAATTTATTTTATATATTTCAAGTCAAAGAAACTTCATTTGAATTAATTAATTTTAATTTGAATTTTAGTGGTATTTCTAATAAGTTATTTCTAATGTAAAATTCAAATATACAAGAACATTATAAAATTTGTTTATTTTAATTAAAATATTAAAATCAATTAAATTACTATACGTAATTGGCAATTGGAAAAAATATTAATCTGATTGGTTATTCTGATATACATAACATAATTATAAAAATAAAGATATGTATTGGTCAAGATTTCACATCTATAAGTAATTTTACATGATAATAAACGAATGAAAAAACGAAATATATAAAATATTAATATATTTGTGAGATATCTTTGGCGGATCAATTCTGAAGATAAAAATATCGATTAAAATTTATTTATTAAGTTATAAGCCATTGAAATTTGCATTAGATGAAACGAGATGGAAAGAAAAACTCTCCATTCTATCTTCATTATCTTCATATCATCGTGCATTTATTTCCAACTCTCTTTATGTAATGTAAATTAAATAGTTTATTACTTAATAAAATTCAACCAATATTTTTGTATACCGATTTTTTTATTTGTTTAAAATCAATTCAAAGATATTCCACATATATTAACACTCATTTATACAAAATACCTTTGAAGTATTGATTCCAGAGGTCACAATAATAAAAGTTAATAAAAAAAATATCAGTATCAAGATTTATTTAGTTGAAGTTTGCGTCAGATGAAAATGAACATAGAGTGAGATATCTATATGATGGGATAGAACTATCTCATTTTATCTCCATCTAACGCTAAATTCAATTGCTCTTTAATACTTCGTTTAATGCAAACTTCAATTGCTTGTAACTTAAATAAGTCTTAACCAACATTTTTATTATACCAATTTGTGTTTGTGTAATCTTTAAAACCCAAGGAAATACTACGAATATATTAGTATTCTATAAATACGTTATTAGTTTTCTTATATTTATGCTGTTTTAAGATTCAACTTACCAACTTATATATTGTATGGATATGAATATTAACATGTCTGTTCAAAATGCTATAGAAATATTCACAACTATTATGCGTTCATTAAATACGGTCGATAAACAAGTATTTTTATCATTTATTACTGATAATTGGAAACCTCAAGAAATAAACATTCAATCTGTTTCAAATGGTATATATAACATACCAATGCAGTATACACAATAAGTCATATAATAGTGAATAACAAACACGAGAATACAAACAAAACTTTTTTCTAGGTAATTGTAATAAGGAATGTAGTTTGCAGGAAAAAAAATTAAATGAAATAAAAAAAATTATTATTGATATCAAAGATAGAATACCATTTGATGGTATATTTCCCTCAGAACACATTGTACCACCAATAATTGGAGAGGTCTGTTATTTTAAAAATAGAGAAAACTTATATTTTTATTTTTTTATACATTTCAAAAAATGTCATAAGTTCCATAATTCTGCAGAATTCAGACTGTGATAATAAATCAACAAAACATATTGATGCTTTTCTTTATGATGATGAAGAAGTAGATGAACTTATAGAAAAGGGAGAATTGAATAATTTATATTGTTCCGACTGTGGATCTACTAATGTAAAACAATATAGTAAGAAAATGAATTTTTTTTTTTAATTATACATATATATACTATTTTAATTATTGTTTGATTAAAACCAAGATTTTGATTTTAGATATTATATCACATTCCATGTCAGTATCTGATATGTTGTATATATTTCATAATATTTTACCATGTTTGAAAGAAAAAGTTTTACTTGATATAGGGTCTCGATTGGGTGCTGTTTTATATGGAGTAATTATTTCTTTTTCTTTTTTTGTTGAAATAAATGTTTATTAAATAAGTATATTATAAGTATATTAAGTAAATATATTATAATTGTTTAAATTTTTATATTTTATATAGGCACACATATTTACATCTGCCAAAAAAATCATTGGAGTTGAAATGAATAAAGAACTTTGTTCATTACAATGTGATATAGTAAATAAATACAACATGAATGATCGTATTGAAATTGTGAATAAAAGAATTGAGATGTGTCCTGATATAATACAGAAAAGTGATATTATCATTATAAATAATCCATTTGAGTTTTATGTTTCAGAATTAGAACATATAAAAATTTGGAAGTTTTTGAAAACTAACATTAAAAGTGGAACAATTCTAATTACTAAGCCATCTATTGAAATTACTTTCAAATATTTAAAAACTGGAATAATACTAGATAAATGGATAAAATCTTACAAATCAAAGAAATATAAAAAAGAATCTCAAATATTTATAAAATTCACTGAAAATCCAGATATTAAATTTTATGAAGTATTATAAAAACACAAAAAATTGTAAATGTATAAATATTATGTAAAATATATGTTATGTAATATATTATTTAAATTTATTTAGAAAACCATTATTTTATTATTTTATAAAACAAAAAGATAAAGTAAACTGATTAAAAAATTCCAAAAATTAGATATATATTATATGATAGATATTAAAAATAATTATCTATATGTTACATATTTATTTCTTATATTTTTTTTATCTTTAATATCTATTACATGCATTATATAATTATATTCTATTATACAAAATTAATGATAAATTCATCTAATTAAGAAATTATTTTGTTAAAGAAATTTCTCTTTAATGATGATCATTAGAATCCGAAATTCGATTATTTTTCTGAAATAATATAAAAAGAACTTCAAAAAAATATAATGGTACAATAAAGAGATTAAAAAAAAATATATAGTTAAAATGGTTCTTGCGTCAATTGTAGGTGAAAAGCTTCCCTTTTAGAGACCGATTTTAATGCAATAAATCCCCCTCTCTTTGTACAGGAACTGAAATATAGGTAGTTACCGCGGAGTGGTCAAGTTCAAATCTTGAGTTCAGTTGGCCATCAGCTACGATTGACGTACAGTTATTTCATATATAGCTTTTCTCAATTACTACAATTAAAAATTAATATTCGTGAAGCGAGAACAATGAACATTCATAATGTCCAATCGATTTATTTAGATTTTAGTTCAAAAGCTAGATTATTCTGTGGTCTAAATGTGTTTAAAATTAATTATAAAAAATGATTTTCATACATAAAAATTTTCTGTTGCATTTTTATATTAATTTTATATTAATTTTTATTAAAATTGTTTACAATTATTTTTGTTGTCAGTCGGGAATAAAATGCAGAGTATAACATCAAAATGGACAGGTAAGAATTGTATAATAACATTAAAAATTTAAAATGACATATATCTTTTATTTTTAAATTGTATGCATGCTATGTAATAATATGGATTATGCATGAATGAATGTAATAATTTTTGTTATTCTTGTACCTATAAAATCATTTTGTAAAACATCATGATTGTAAATTTATCAAATTGTACTCTATTATATATGAGAAATTTATATGAACGAATTATGATAATATATGTTATTTATTCGGAAATCATTAGTACGAATCATTAGCCTTGGATTAATTTAATTTTGCCAAAAATTGTCAAAAATATATTTTTGATTTTTTTGACTTATAAAAATAATAAAATATTGCCCTATATTCTTCATTGAATTTTCTTAAAAATTATTCTTTTATTTAAAAAAAAACAAACAAAAAATCAAAAACATTTCTTTTTATCATTTCTTTTTATAAATATTTTATTATTTCCATTTATTAAATATAAAATATGAATATTTATGATTAAGTGATGATTATTATTTTACAATAATAATTTTAACTAAAAAAATGTAAAATACATATTGAAATCATTTTTTTTTTTTTACTATTCTTTTTCAAACTTTAAAATTTCACTCACATATTAAATCTTATTTTCTTTAATAATGAAAAAATATTACAGATTTTATATTTTAATCTTATCTTTTTGTAAATATTTATCATTATGTGTAATTAACAACCGTTCTTGATCTATAAAAAATAATGCGTGGGTGATAAAAGAAGACAATGATAGAAAAAAAATTCACTGTTCTACTCATTATTCTGTACATGGTTACTTCGTAGAATGAACACAGAGTCGAACGAAACACAGTAGCAGCACAGATAGGCTCAAGTGGCCAAGGGGCACTTGAACTGACGAGATAATGGACCGATTGTCGAGAAAGAGAAAGAATCAAACGGGCACTATGGTTGTTGCAATGCAATCGTGATCATTATCGCACTTTCTTGTTTCTTTACTTCCAATGACGCACTTGTGACGTCAATCGAAAGAGCAAGAAGCAACCCTGGCATATCTTCTGTGCATCTTTCTCTTCACATTTCTTCGACCCGGATATACGTTCCTTAATTTGTTCTTTGATTCTTCCTGCGATATCTATTTTTTAAAAAAAATAGCTTTTGTGCATAAATAAATATATATGATTGTAAAAATGTTATTGATAAAATATTCATTATAATCAGATTATTAATATTTATTATCAAAGATATTAGATTATTATAATGTTTATTATTATTGTAAATTAATGAAAAACTAAATAAAAAAATAAATATCATTTTATAAAAAAAATATAATGTATAATTATGAGACTAGATAAGAGTTTATGATGATATGATATTAAACAAATTTATATTGCTTGAAAAATACAAGTAAAAGTAGTTTGTATTTTTATGTATAGTCACCAATGTATGAAATAAAATGAGGTCATTAAATAAATATATAATATATAAAATGTAATAAATATATAATTAATAATAATAATTCAAATAATATTTTTTATATGTGCAAATTAATTAGCATATTAATATATTATAATCAATATATTATAAAGGTAGTCATTATAAAAATGAAAAAATTGTAATAAGTCGTATTTATACATTTTTTAATTTCGAATCATGTTTTTTTTATTTAGTCAAACATTTATATTAAATGATATCATCAGCGTAAATTAATTGTAAATCAACATTAAATGTAATATAATGAAAAATTTGTTAAATGAAAAACTAAATATTCCAAAGTTTATGAATTTAATGTATATTCTATAATGACAAAAATCAAATTCCATATATTCAAAATTTGCTTATAAACGAAAGAAGAAACAAAGAAGAGAATGATACTAGTTCAGAAGATCGTAATTTTTTTAAGTCGAATTGCGGTTTATTATTCAAATCAGGTCAGTTGATCAAGTTACATCTTCCATCTAGCTCTCACATGGTTCGTGGAATCGAACATGGCGGCCTCTACTATCATCAACGCCGCAACCGCGATTGGTTCAGAATCAGTGCGGGATGTGTCTCTCGTATTTCAAATCGAATATCGCGCAACCGAGTGTTGTTGAGAGGACAATGCATATCCTCTCGTCGAAACGATCGACATAACGTTCATTCCTTGGCATTTGGAGCGATACAATTAAGACAGCTGTTAAAAAGACAGTTGTGTGAAAAGCAAAAAGAAGTATCGATTATCACAGAAGACTCATCTCGAAAGCAAACCGTTGACCCATTGTCCTCGAACACGCAAATTACACGAAAACGACGCGTTGGCATTGTGGAGAATCAGTACGTGGTTGAGAATAATACCGGTTCATCAGTATGCGATTTAGTGCGAGGTTTAGAACGATTATTCGATGAAAAAAACGCCGGAAATAACAAAATTACGATGAAGTCAAAGAAGGAACAAAATGCTGAAGAGAATATCGTTGATCCTGTCGAGGAGAACGAAACGTACGACGAATTTGACACAATTAGGATACCGATAATGCGGTCTTTAAGTAAGAGTCCGCCAAATGATGAAGGTATTGAGACGGATTCGGATCGAAGAAAAGGATCGATAGCCCGTTGCTGGAGTCTCGATTCGACGGCGGCCAGTGACGAAGATATATCGCTGACCACGCACCAACAGAAACGACACAAACTACGTGTTACTAGATGCTATAGTTCCGATAGTGCTGTGTTGAGCGACGAGGATCAAATAAAAGGTGAGGAGGATGGTATGCCACTAGTTGCTCTTTTTAATACATTAAAAGAGGAGGGGAGAATTCATTGAAAACACAATCTTGACCATGCGTGCTGTGTCAACAACATCATTGTCCTTTTTCTTTTTTTTTTTGCCTTACGTATTCTTTCTATGTTGATCTGTCTAATGATGATATAATTAAAATTTTTCTATCAAAAATATAGAAATACACGTAAATTTTTTTTTTTTTACCTCCATTGAAACTTATTATTTATTATTATATAAATGCTTCTATACTTAATATAGATGAAATTTAAAATTTTAAGAATTTTTAAAGAGAATTTTCAAAAATTTTCATACAAAATATATTTTTATATTTATAAATTGAAGAAAAATTATTTTTTAAAAATTGAATATATTATAAGTTGAAATTTATGAAAAACTTTTTCCAGGATGGGATGGTTCAAATATGGTAGAAGGAAACGAATCAGATCATAATGATGGAAGACTTAGATATTGGAGAACACCAAGTGTAGTTGTCAGTGATTATTCTGATTATTCTTATCTGGATGAAAAACTAGAAAGAAATGATCTTGATCTTGAAAAATATGAAGGGATTAGTAGTACTCCTAGCCAAGCAAGCAGTTGCTCTTGCTTAGATTGTGATGAAATTCGTGAATCTTTAAATACACAGTTCCTACAAGTCTGTCGTAGTAGAAGACATTCGGACTCCTGTTGTTTGTGCCTTGATTCTATGAATGCTGTTATAAGGTATTTATTTTTATATTCCTTTATCCTTTTATATTAGAGTTTAACAGTTTATTAACATAAATATTATTTAGAAACTTCAATGAATCTGAAAATAGAAGAAATTCTTGCCTGGGTTCCACTGAAATTTATTATTCCAAGCACAATACACAACAATTTACACAATATATACCAGAAAGTTCTTCAAATTTACAAGAAAAGACGAAAATTGATCTTTTGGACATTCCACCTATACGAAAAATTTCAGATTGTTCCACTACATCTAGTCTTAGCGGAGACGAGTCAGACGTTGTTGAACTACAACCAGTCAAATCTTCCAAAGTAAGTATTAGAATTAAAAAACATTATTATTCATCGTAAATTTTTTATAAAAAAATGAAAAACACTGAAGAACGATCATAAATTTCGAAACAAATTTATATTTAATTCTTTATTTTACGCAATAATTTATTTTCATTTTAAAAAAACTTATTTATTAAATTAAATATCGATAAAATTAAATAGCTAGGACTATTTTAATTATTATTTTAAGAAATAAATAAATTACAAGAAAAAGAAAATTGGATAAATAAAATTTATACAAATCGAATGTTTTCGTTTCTGAAATGTATTTCTATTCCAGAAATATAAATATTTTAACGTTAAAGCAAAAGAAAAAGTCTATGTTTAATTTGTCATATCGCTGTTAAGTTACATTGTTTTCTCACGAACAAGCGCGTAATTTATCTTGCGCAATGTCATATTTCTTGCGCTCCACTTTGCGAACAAATAGACTGTTCATTCGTCAAGAGGTACAGAATTCATCTCAATAATGTATCCTATTTAGAAAATATTAATGAACTGAAAAAAATCTGTTTTATCTATTATATTTATGTTTCTTGAACAGTGTTTCATTCTTCTATTTTTAATTATTTCTTTTTGTAGCTTTGAAATTTATTTTAGGAAAATAATAATTGTTTCACTATAAAAAAGATAAAGATTTCGAATTATTTTTGGGAAAATATACATACTATTAAAAATCATTATAGCGATCTTTTGATTGCAAATTCTAATTGAATTAAGATTCACGTAAGACTATAACAATCGGAGGAATATTTTTTATATAACTATTGGAATCTGTTATGCATATCTTTTCTTTTGTGTGTACATGCATACTTATCTTTATTAACTCAGGCATTTAACATACGGATCAATCTGTTTACAAACTCGTTATATACGTGTATATACGTTCACTTTGTGTATATACATTTATTGTATGGATTCCGCCGATGTCTATATAACATAAAATGGAATGCAACATTTATAGGTATTGTTTTCTTTATATCTTTTTGTTTATTAAAATTTTAAAATATATATTTTTGAATAATTAAAAAAAAGTAACTTATAGCACTTATTATAATAATTAAATATTTCATTAAATTTATCTTCATATTAAAGATTAATAAAATATTCATATTAGAAGATTATTTTGGATTAAATTTTTGATTGGTTTGAATCAACTTTCATAAATTTTCTATCAAGAATCCTTTCATTAATGCATCATTAATGTTTTAATGTTTTAAAAAAGTCAATATTTTAAAAATACCATCAGTGATGTAATTGATTGAATAGAAAGGAAAAAACAATTCATAAATATTACTGTTTATAAATTTTTACAAATATATATTTTTTTCTAGTTCTAAATTTTTATCTTACACTTACAGTTTTAAGTAGCTTTCATCCTCCTCCATTGATGCAATTTCAATTTTTTTTGCAAGATCATCAACAACCATAAAGAAATAATCCAATTTAAAAGTGTTCGATAAAGACGAAATTTTTACTTTCAAATATCATATTCTATTCTCGTCGTATTCACTTGTAAAAATGTAAGCCAATACATCTCTTCAGTCAGCTGTGGTAATTCGATTGGCCGTGGTAATAGGGATCAGTCAGTTGGAATCAGTGATAGCGGTTAGTCAGTCGGTGGCACTGCTTTCCAAGGGATCTGTCGGCCAGTGTCAGCAACGGTGCTATAGGACATTGAATGGCTCATTGCCATTGTCAAAATGTGAGCTGCACGATTTCAGGATTCAAAGCTGAATTGCTATGAATCGGAAATATTGTCGTGGCTTCATTCATTTCTAATTACAGAGAGAATCATTCAAACACAATTCATCAATTTTATTCAGAAAGTGATTGATAAAAGAAGATATCTGTGTATTTACGAAAGAAAAAATATAATTTCAGTGAAAGTGGAGAAATAGTTGTTCGACTCGATGGAAGTGAATTGTGATTTTAAATAAACCTTGTATATTATGTATGCGTATATGAGATAGTTGGAATCAAGTGAAGATATTTTGGATATTTTTAACGCGTTACATGATTCAATATATATATTCCAGTAGGAAAAAGAAAGGAGGATCATTTTCAACCTATGCTATTATTTTCAATGAAGTCCAGAAACTCTAGAAATTTTTCTTTTCTACAAAATTTTTGTTACAAAAAAGAATCTCTGTAAAATTTTAAATTTCTAAAGTAATCAGAATTGTTCCTTTTTTATATATAACAAAAAATTTTCTTTTTGAAATTGTCGAACGAAAATTATGTTATTTCTCGTGATGTTATTTTTTCATTCTGGACCACATAACAATCTGTGAAACAATCAGTTTTCAGGGAGGGAGAAAGCAAAAGAGGTAAAATATGTGTATTTGTATAGATTTTTCACATAGATGTCGTCTAGTGAATCTTAATAACTTTGTTTGTACTAAACTTGATTCATCAGGTTGTCATCAGATAAAAATCAAAACTTTTATTTTATGAGACAAAAATTTATCAGAAAATTGTTATGTGATAAAACATTCAAACAGCGATATCTTGATAGTCATAGCAATCAGCGGTGAATAATCAGTCAGTTTCTCGTTTATACGCTGCAAAAGCAGTTATGCGACTCAACGTTTTCTTCTTTGCTTGCAATGAAGATTTTGTGCAGTAATAATTATACCCGTGTGTTGATACATGTGAGGAGGAAACATCATCGATTTCGTCAATACGTAAAGTGCAAAAAACATTTGGTGAACTTGTTAAAAATTGATCTTGAAGGAGATTGTAATCTTAAGGAGATATTTCATAAGAATATCGATTATCGTAAGGTATTTGTAAACTTTTCGTCATTTTTAATGATTTATGATATTTAATAGTTCGAGTGATTACGATCTCATACAAGAGATAAAAGATATTTTTAAAATAACTCAAACATACATCTTAAATTTTATTAAATATTTTAAAAAATAAAATAAGATTCATCGTTATTAAATACTTGGTTCGAATTTAATTCTAATATTATTTTTATATATATATACTTTCTTTGAGGTAACTCAAAAAAACAACTCGAAGAATTTAATGATATTTAACAATCATCAGATGAATAAATAGATTCATAAATCAATAAATCGATAAATAGATAAAAACAGGTGTTTAACTTTGGTTTTCATTTTAATTATTCTTTATAATAGAAACAGCGAAAAAAACATTTGTGGCTTCAATATTAACAATATTTCAATATTCAATATTTTCTAAATTTTTTAGATCATTATTCGATCAAACTTTTTCTTTCAAATAACTAACATCAGTTTTTAAAGAATTAAAAATTCTTCAGAATTCTTCAATTTTTTCTTCAAACCTATTTAGTTCTTATCATATTGATAAGTGTTCCGATGATTAATCGAATATTTTTAATGAATTTTTTTGAAACCTCAAAAACTTTATTAAAAAAAAATGATATATTATTATTGTGAAATTCTTCTGAATGATCGTTGATGAAGTTATCAGATTATATGTTTATTAACGTATGTACGTACAAAGATATCGAAAAAAAACGAAAAAGGTCACAGGACATTCGTTCGATGGAATCGCGTATGTAGAGACTATGTCAAACGCATTATGAATAATACATCGTCAGCGTGACTGAAAATAATATCGCAGGCACTTGAAAATTCTGTTGCGACCTCTCGCTTTCGAAATGTTCGCCTGTTTCTCAGAGACTGACCCGAAAAAGGCGATACTTCGCTTTACCTTCAATCGTGGAATTGTACATCGATCATTAATGTTATCTGATTTTTTTATGAGGGAAAGTAAAATTATATCGAAACTTGAATATTTTGATCCCTCTTCCCTTTTTTTTTTCTTTTCTCTCTTTTTTTTTTATTTTATTTCATATCTTTTGTTTTAATAATAAATTTAATAGATTATATTATAATTATTATATTTTCTATTTATCATTAATAGATAATAAAAGAATATGCGATTCCTCTTTGAGTGAAGATTTTTTAATGCAGCTTTTAATTGTTTATCTAAAAACTATTAAAAATTATATTAACGAAATTAAAATAAGAATTATATTTCTATTTTTATTAAAACTTATTTTAAACACATCTATTCTTATTACATTTTTTGTTTTGAGAAATTGAAATGCAACTATGCAATCTTTTGTTTTGTTGAACAGACTTCAGATATTATTTCCTAGAAAACGATAAATGCGAGTGATCGATTATTGCGATTTTATCGTAAGACGATTAAAAAAGGAATTCACAATCACAAATGGAATAATAGAAAATTTTCATTTGAATATACGAACGAAATACCATTTTGCATACATGAAGTGTTCGTCGAGCTTCCTTTGATGACAGTTCACAATTTCGATTAGTTTCCTCTTCGATAGTTTATCGACTCGAGAAGAATATTAAGGAGTCGCATTACGCTCCTTATCTATCTTCACGTATCGCCATTTCGATTATTCATTTCGCTGAGTTATCGATTAATTTGATTGGAAAATCGATGTTTCCACATCGAAACAGTAAATAATACTTTTTTAATTTCTTACTTTTCATTTCTACTTTCGAAACACGTTATTTACATATTGGATCGATTAATATTTCTTTTATTTAATGAATACCGGTTGAAGATCATTTTAACTTCAAAATTTATGGTAATTTATCGATTCGTTGCTTAATAGAAAATTAATCAAATAATAACAATTTAAGATTATGCAATTAATTTCTTATAATATATAGAAAAAAGCATAAAAAAAAGAGACTAACCTTTCAGTCTTGATTACTTCGGTAGCAATATTATTGTAATAATTTCTCTCATTATATCGTAAGTATACTTCTAAATATCAAAATTTAGATTTAATATTTGTTTTTTTTTTATGTTCAAGGATCTTTATCGATTTCACGAATTCTGACTTTACAATTCGTACGTTTCGCTTCATCAAAATTCTTGAACAGCAGTTTCTTAAGTGATTCGAAACAATTTACAACAACAACAACTTCCGAGGCAAGGTT